GTAAAAAAACCTTACAACTTTGAGTGATTATTAATGAAATCTTTTACTAATTTTTTTAGGGGAAAGTATAGAAATACTTAATTTTTTTTTCATTTTAAATAATTAAATCTTTAAATATTTTTTTTAATAAATAAAATATTGAACTTTCTTATTATAAGTTAGGAAAAAGTACAAAAAAACTCGATGGACTTTAGTGTTTGGAATAATTAAGTCTTTGGAACAAATAAGTTCTTAGACATTTCAAAACTTGTTAAATAACTTCTTAGACTTTCAAAAACCTGTTAGAAAGAGAGAATTAAAAAACAAAAATAGAACCAAATCAAAAGGAGGGAGATCAATGGAGAACAAACAACGATGAATTGAGAAGAGGTGGCGATGTCGTTGGGTGTGATTTATAAGAGTTTGAATGGTGTAGGATTTGGGAAAGGTAAAACTGATCGGGTTAAAAGAATGTGTTTGATGGTTTATTTATGAAAAAAAAAATCAAGGACTTGATCTTTTTCAAAATGTGAAAGTTCAATAATTTAACCAAAAAAAAAATTACGGACTTAATCATTCAAATGAGACTTAATCCACAACTTTATATGTTTATAAACACTTACTCGCGCAATGCAGCAAGATAAATATCTATTTTAATGTTTAGTTTTTATTCTGTCTCTATCGCTATAATACGATTTTATGTGGTTTTAGAAAGGTGATAATGTTTTTATGTTTTAATGAAATATACATTTGAAGATAATATATAAATTTGGAAAAAAAATCGATATTAGAATCAAATTAACTATTTAATAATTCTCCTTTTTTTGGTGTAACTTTTTTAATTCAATTTTTTATTATACGTTATTTTAGATTTAATAACAAAGTAATTTATTTTTGGTTTAATAATATAATTTTTTATAAAAATAATAATTTAACATTATATTAGAATTCAATGATTATCTTAATTATAATTTAATTTTCTATATTCAAAATGAATTTTTATCCTGTATTTGATTATGTTTATCTATAATTAATTACACGAATTTAAAAATGGGGTTTTAATAAATTGTACTTGTTCAAAATTACTTGTAATCTTGAATTTTTTAAGTAATATGCACAATAAACAGTACTTAATGCATAAAAAATGGTTAGTATAAATTAGAATTTGAAATTGGAGTAAATTATGATTTTTGTCATTATGATTTATTGTTTATAACTATTTTTGTCCTTGGTTTTTTAAAAATTATGTTCTTTGCCTCTGAAACTAAACTAACTCTGTTAAAAGAACAAATTTTCATCACAAAATGTCGACTTTAATAAGATCAAAACTTTTCTTGATTTGAAAGGTTCATTTTGTTTCCCTCTCTATATTTTTGCATTTGTCAGTTCTTGAACGAATATTTAGTGGCCGTTTACCAAAATGCTTACCCGGTAAGCATTTACCATTAAGAGTCAACACTATAATTTATTTTATCGAGTAAGATTGTGGTACAACAAAACGTATCTTATGTAACAATTTATCTGGTAAATGTTTACCCGGGTAAGAGTCATTACCCCCACTTACCGGGTAAGACTCTCCATTCTTATCATCGTTCTTACCAGGTAAGATTCTTGCCTTTTGTCATGTTCATCCGATAAGGAAAATTACCCGGTAAGTACTTATTGGGTAAGCGTTTAGTAAACGGCTCCTTAATCCTAAACTAATACTAATACTAATACACATTCAATTGAATTTCTTTTACATTTATATTTTTGTGATTTATTTCTATCAAAGCACCATTTTTCAAGTTGTATTCTACAAACCCACCAATGCCAAAATTTATCTTCTTCATATTATCTCATCCTCATGAATATGTCAGTTTTCTTTGTTATTTTTATCCTTTTCGCTCACATTTTTGCTATTTTGGGATAAAAAAAAGTGTTACCAGGATAGAGGCATATCTGTATATTTGGATTTTGTTTGGTTTGGTTTGGTTTGATCTGGGTTTATCTTTTTCAGCTGTAAAAAGACTTCTTTAACTTTCGTTGAGAACCCTTTTGGGGAATATCTTCATCGTAATCAACTTTGTATGTTTCGTCCAAGCAATCTTGGCAGTTGCATACGTCGTACCAACAATGTATATGATCATGAGATATGTTTATGTCATGTTGTAGAAAATGAAGTAAAAGAAATGAGTTAGCAAGTAACAAGTTTCAATTTGATGAATATCTTACCAGCAAGAATAGTGCAAATTGAATATGCAGGGAAGTTCCCATAATCTCGAGGTTGAACCAAAGTACGAAAAGATTAGTCTTTAAGCTTTAGTGAATTGAACAACATGTGGTCTTCCCATCCATTTCCTGCAATGAACACACACACACACACACACACATATATATATATATATATATATATATATGGTGTTTCTGGTACTCTGCACCTAATTAGACAATACCCCTCCCTATGATTCATACCTCATCTTTGTCAAAATGCAAATTTAAATGATTAAAATCAACACAAACTACTAAGATGGAGTTTTAGCATATATTTAGGGCAGCATTTTAAGACATATTCTAATGTTCTAAATCTATAACCACTCTTAAGGATTAACAATTTTGTAGCAAGATACATTCATACAAGGCATTGCCAAATCCCCATATAGGCAATCTGGTTCTTTCTTGAAAGGAGGGATGAATTCATACATTAGAAATTAAGGATACAAATCTAATGGAAAACTTTAAATCTTATGCTTATGAGAGAATTTCATTCTATTGTGGGTTTGTTTATACACACAGGTTTACATATATATATATATATATATATATATATATATATATACACACACCCCCGAATCCTCAATTTTAGAATCATCAAATCCCAACATCCATCTATGATCATGTATGCCTTAAGTCATCCAATCCAATTAGAACCGACCCACCATAATCGAATACTCAATTGTAATTGCATCGGATCTGACCCAGAACTTCAACATCCAAATTGGATAGGTCGGTTTTTGGTTGACAATCTAGAATCCATTAAAACCGAACCGATCCAATCTAGTGAAAATCCAACTACCATCCAATTACTAGCTATATATAATTATTATCATTTTACGATATTGTTTTTTAGTTGATATATATAAATATAAGTAGTGGTTTTTAATAAATTAAGAAAATATATTAATAACTGGTTGAAAATTATATCAAAATATTGGATGGAACTAACAAATAACCAATAGTAACATCCAACAGATGCAACCGATCCGGTCCAATCATCCATTAGATTGGATTGGTTCGGATGATAAAATCCAACATCCATTGAATGATTGGAACGGATCCACCTAAATCCATTGGATTTCAACCGATGAACAACCTTGCATGGATATCCCCCTTTCCATATCCTTACAACCTAGATTATAAATCAAACAAGACATATATACTTGGGGGATATTTTCAAAAAGAAAAAGCATACCTTGAATTCCATTTATTTGACGGGTTCCTCGATCAGCATTCAAGCATTATGAACTTTACAGCTTTATGGATTCATTTGCGAAACAAGAATTCTTATGCAATCCTGTTGAAAGATAGACTACAAGTTAAAATCAAGATCAATTTCACATTCCAGATTCCATCAGAAGTTAAGAGGTGTTCATGGCTAACAAATGGCAACTTGACGGTAAATCTAACCACAATTCCTGTGAAATAGCTCTTAAACAAAATTCAATTCCTAACCAGGTATTCGCAGCAAATAAAGCTAAATTCTACATCCTAAAGGTAGCAAAAATCAACAGTTCATAGGTCATCACTCATCAGAGACGAAGGTGAAAGTGGCAAGCTCCGGATCTCCCTCAACTCACCAACACCCAACATCTGAGTATTGAATAATCTATCACCTGCTTAAAGGTTAATATAATCCAGTCAATCTAATTCGTAATTTGGGGATCCGAAGGAACGAAAATGATATGCAAAGCAATGTAGTGGTAGTTAGAGTTGAAAAGGCTCAGTAAATTACAGAAGAGAAACATGAACTGATTTTGCTAAAAGGAATATCACTCAAAGTGTGAATTTCATGCCCTAATACATCTGACAAGAAATTACAGAAATCTCGACATTATTTTTCCAGAGAATTGGATTCAATCCGTAAATCGAACAAAAAACAGATGATGATCTTATCAAAAAAGGCTAACAATCAGTAAACAACAAAATCACTCGATCTACATACAAACAACAATCAGAAAGCAACGAAATCACTAAATCAAACTAAGACGAATCATTAAATAACAACGTAATTACTGAATCTAACCAACAGATAGGTTTACTAGCAAGTGAATATATGAGAGGGCAAACGTGAAGATTCAGATTTAGAGAAGCAGGCATCGTCAAGGGCGTCACTACGGCACCATCTGCAATTGGTGGTTCTCACACACTGTGATCTCGACACCATTTCTCCACAATCCTGGATCTGCTTTCGGTCCATCGTTTTCTTCTGTTCAACGGCTCCGGTGAAGGGTGTTGTTCCCAGTAGAAGAAAGAGAATCAGCATAGGGATCAGATGTGAAGGCCCAAAAGCAGCAGCAATTGTAGCCCTAATCGCCATTTTCGGTTTCGTTAGAAACAGAGCGAAGCAGAATTGAGGATTTTATGTTTATGAAATTAGATGGACCAAATAGGTCTTAATCAAAAGACGAGGGATTAAAAATGAAAATTTCAGATTAAAAACGTTTGGCCCATGCAGATCTCGAACCTGCGACCTTCGCGTTATTAGCACGACGCTCTAACCAACTGAGCTAATAGGCCAGGTTATTTGTATTTACTCATATTAGTAATTAATTTAATTTTAAATTCAATATATTTTATCAGAAATTAAGTTATTTTTAGAACATTAAAAATATTGTTTAACCAATAAAAAATAATTGAAATTACTATTTACCTATTAGCAATGACAAGTTATTTATGATATTGATTTTGATCTATTAGAAGTGTATTCGTGTAATATATCGAGATATATTTCGATTTCAATGTTTCATTTTATTTTTTATCAATGTCGATATAATACGATTTGTGGTTTTGAAAAAACAATAATGTTTTTATTTTTGAGTAAAATATAAATTTAAAAATATCATATAAAATTTGCAAAAAATATATCAATATTAGTATCAAATTGACTATTTAAAAGTTTTTATTTGTGTATTTTTTTTAATTCAAATTTTTATTATAATTTAATTTAACGTAACAAAGTAACTTAATTTAGGTTTAATAATATATTTTCTTATAAAGATAATAATTAAATATTCTGTTAAACTCAATAATTATCCTAATTATATTTTAGATTTTTTATATTTTAAAATGAGATGTTTATCATCTATTTGATTATGTTTATTCGCAGTTAGTTATACGAATTTAAACATATAGCTTTAATAAGTTGTACTTATACATAATTTACTTATAATCTTGAACTTTAAGTAATATGCATCAATAAACAATATTTCATGCATAAAAAATGATTTTTAAGAATTTTTATCAAAAGTTTTATAATACAGTATAGATAAATAAAAACGTTTATTTTATTTGCTAAAAATAATTTTAGCTATTTAATTATTAATCAAACATTTATACTTGTCAAATAAAACATTTTATGAAACAAATGATATCTTTTCTCTGGTAAAATATATGATCATCTTAAGAACTCTCTTGATTAGTATTTGATACAAAAAATCATACAAATCCATATCTCGTGAAAATAAAAGTTAAGATGAGAATGTAACAAGGGACTTGAACCATTAATCACTTTTAACCTCACTTCGGGGCCGTTTACTAAACACTTACTTGGTAAGTGTTTACCGAATAAATTTCCTTATCGAATGAACATGAGAAGGGCCAATAATCTTAATGGGTTAGTGCAATGAAACTGATAGAGAGTCTTACCCGGTAAGTAAGGATGACGACTCTTACCCAGGTAAACACTTGCCCAGTAACTTGTTACATTCGATATGTTTTGATGTACTAAAATCTTACGTATCAAAATAAATTATAATGTTAAATCCTACCGATAAGCACTTACCGGGTAAGCATTTAGGTAAACGGCCTCCACCCATAAATTGCGCTTAATACGTGAATTGATCAGGTGCATCTCATTACAGTTGGTCTTAAAATGTGATTGATTCAATGATGAAAATCCCTTCGTACCCTTCTCGGCATAACTTTCATTTTCACCAGAACCCAACCTATATCATGTATTCATCTTTTAAAATTATTTTTAAACAAAATCCAAATCAAGTCAAATGACATCAATATCCTTTTTTGCACAAACTGATCTGGTATCTGCCACTCAAAAATAGGATCAAGAAATGGCATCATTTATATATATATATACAAATTAACTCATGAATCATGAAATATTTAAAATTACATATGAGATTTGTTTATGAACACATTTTGTTTTCCAGAAAGATATATGGGTACCTAAAAAGTGTAGCAGCAAGTTCACCCATTGCTGAAAAGCCAGCCAGAAAGCTATTTTGGACCGACCCCTGTGCTTCGAGCCACAATGTTATTTGATGAAATGCCCCTTGGCTGTATCCATGGCAAGATGATAGGCGTGCAACATACAAGCGTGAACAATAACTCTACTCCAAAGATCATAACGCTAACCCACACGTATATAGTCCCTTTCCATGACCACAAAATCCTTTTCAAGAACGGTGGTTGGGACTCTAGTTTCAGAAACGCCGTGTATATTTCAGGAACGCCACGCCCTCTTGTGAATTCTGCTCGTTGTTCCAGAATTACCTTCAAGCAGGAGGTAGGAACACTTGTTTCGGTATATCCTCTGAACTTTATGTTTAGCGTTTGGGATTCTGATGAATAGCCGGTGATGAGAGGTGCTAGGTTTAGAAAGGTTAATAGAAGGCGGATCGGCTGACTTTTGAAGTGGAGCATACACGGCTGTCTGGTGCTTGCAAGGCGTTTACCGTTACCAGAAAGGAAGTCTACCCGCACCTTCAAGAAAGAGAACATATTTAAACACTGGTTATACATAACCTTCTAAACACTTGACCCAACAAGACCAAACAAACCCAGTATATCCCAGATGGTTTGGGGAGGGTAATGGCTGTTACTGTGAAGACCGCCCCCTCCCCCTTGAAAAATGTGTGAAAGAGAGGAATGCATATAATATAAATTTTGACAGCTAGTTATGAGTAAGCAATAACATACAAGTATACGCAGTACAAGAAAAACATGCAAGATATACACCCTTGGTCTAACCTAAGACTCTTGTAACCTAACTAACGACTCACCAACCCTATTCCCCATCCTCTACCTCTCCGACTCCCTTCCTCCATACTATGGTATCTACCGAATCCCCACCCCTATTCTGCTACCCTAATCATATCTCCAAGAACTCCTATCTGATTTCATGTCTTCGGAAATGTCTAAAGCCGCGCCATGTCCAATTTCAGTTGATCATCTCTCATCCTCCTTGGCCTACCTTCCTCCTCGCCGCCTCGACTGTCATACACTCTATCCTCCTCACTAGAGCCGCCATATGTGTAGAACATGACTAAACCACCACAATCTTCCCTCCCTCAACGAATCTATGATCAATGCAACTCCCAACACTTTACCCAGCAATGTATCATACCCACATTGGAAACATAAAGAGCAACTGCAGATTACTAATCAACAAGTCAAAATCTGAAGCAACCTTGAAGCTAAACATAATTAAGCAACATAAACATAAGGAAGTAGGTGGCAGGTTTCTAATAAGTTTTTACTATTCTACCCATCAATATTGGAGATGCATCTTCTGAGTTTTTGTGATTTGAGTTAGAGAAAAGAGCAGCTGCTGCTCAAAGCACAATATGTAATTATCCCACAAGTTAATAGAGGCAAATCATTTCATTTAAGGTTCTAGGGTTTATTCTCTTGGATTTACTTTTCCATCACAACTTATAGAATTTACTTTTCCATCAAAACTTGTAGAATTTCATCACCATTCCATCACAAATTTCATTTAATCTGTGCTTTTTCATACTATTGAAAAATGAAGAATGGGGTAACATTATTGTCATCAGAATGTAAGGTTAAGGTGACAGATGTAAGGTAATGGTTGGTTCTCAGCATAACATTACACCCTTAGAAACAACATTCAAATTACGTCATTTTGGGCAAAGCTCAAGTATAGTTGTGAAAACAGATATGTGTTTGTCAATCCCTTTTTGAGTTATGCCACCTACAAATCAGAACTTTTAATTCGCAGGAATACAAAAAGCTACATGTGATCAAATTATGTCAAATTTAGGGGGGTATTTGCAAGAGTATTGCTTCCCTTGTTTGCATTCTCAACTGAGCTATCTTGCATCTTTTACAATGCAACTCGCATTTTTAAATGTTAGTCAATAACAAACATATCTAAAAGCTACATGGCTTGTTTCACTAAGAAGTTACATTATACTCTTTTCGAATTAGCATCTGTTAACCATCCCCTCCCTTGTTTCTGTCCAGTAGATGGTTATAACAAATTGTATTACAAAGGTTGATCAACAAAAAATTGTGTAGATTCAGATCACTTCATAAAAACCTCTACTTATTGGTTCTTTATCTATTTTCTACATGCATTTGTAAGTAGGATGCAACGAGCAAGATGCAAACATAGAAACAACTTCAACAAAATAAAATCAGCATTACAAATATGTGTAGATTAATTCAATAATCTGGCCCGAAACATCATTTCGTTTTTGAGCTCCTGGTGAAGCAATTTCGACAGTGAGGCTGTCTAAGCAAAGACCAATTGATGTAGCTAAGCAGATAAAAACCTCTCACTACTTGTGAATTGGGAAAATTTTCTGTAATCATGCAGAAATTTGAAGCATGAACTAAAACACAATACGTCATTCTGGAGAACACATTTTTCAGCCTAACAAACCATATTCACTTTCTCTATTTCTTCTTACTCATTGCACTTCAGTTTTCAAAGATAAAAGAAGCATCTTTAGGTGACTTTAATGATGGCAACAATAAACGTAGCAATGTTGAGTAAGAGAGCCTAGTGAGTATGTCTCCCTACTTTCAAAACAATCTTATTGCATACCTGGAAGACCCCAAGATTTCTATTGTAGTCTGACTCTGGCAATGATAGGGAGACAGTGACATGCACTCGGTGATCAAGTGGTAAAACCCGCGATTCAGCTGTACACCCAGGGCAAATCGGTTCACTGTGTTCCAGAAAAGAGGGCTCTGGACAAGACATTAGTGGTACAAAAGCTGTGGGACTCTCTTTCGTATAATCAAAATTCAACTGCTCGGTAATCTTTATCGGCTCATCCATTATGCATTTCAAGATGATGCCGCTAATAACAAATGCAAAAACTAATAAACTAATCAAAATAAAACCTACATAAACGGACCACAACAATCCCCAACCGATTTGAAGACACAACTTCCATGTAGATTCATGTTTTCTAATCCACATATACATAGTCCATTTGACACAACCATAACAGACACCACAAATTCTTGAAATGTTCCCCACCACATAATATTTTGCACGTCTCATGATCCTAAATGGATCCGTCACAAACATGTAAGAAAAGTAAACTAACCATATGGGCAATGTGATAGAACTAACTAGTAAATTTAATTGAAACCCAATAACTTTAATCACGAATCCAGCCAAGGCAAAAATAAAATTTGAACCAGAAACGGGAGAATCTGCTGTAATGGAGCCATCATTGATTCTTTCATCATCATTAACACTTGTAATTGCAGAATTACCATTAGTCTCCTCATTTAACAGCTCACGGACACTGCCTGAGCTCGCATGAATCCTAGTGGAACTTAATTTACTTTTTGATTCCTCATTTTTCCAGGAAATTTGACAATCATCCCCCGCAGACATAGTGAAACCATGAGAATCAAAATCTACCAAACGATCAGTATCATTTTTGTAGGAATGAGACGGGGAGAATTCATTCAAACTTTTCCGGGAAACAAGTTGCCGATCACAAAGGTCGGCATCGGAAGAAGATGATGTAGATTCCGGCGTTTCTTTTGATTGGATTGAACTGGTGTTGATATCGTTGAGATTGGAGATTGAGGAAAGATTGGAAATGCAAAGGGAGTGATCGGACTCCATATTCTCCCAGGCATCGACGTACGACTCGGCATCGCTTTCGTTGATGGTCGAATTGGAGTCTTCGTGTTCCATCGTAACAAATTACGAACTGGGAATTTAAGTTAGGGTTAGGGTTAGGGTTAGGGTTAGTGTGATCCAGAAAATTATCAACTCCACATCATATTCATTTTGTTGCAGAAGTTTGTGTGAAGGAAACAACGAAAGGCCATTTTTCTTATTTCTATCGGGTGTTGGTGTCTGATCTATTTTATACTAGTAAACTTTAATTTTGGTGGTGAAAATTTTCAGTGCGTTTGGTACATTGAATATGGACTCTTATTCCATGTTCGATATGAATTTTACGTGGAGCAAGGTAGAACAAGGTAAAACATACTTATATTTTATCAATATAATCTTAAAAAAAAATTAATTCTCTTCTAAAATATCAAATAAGTCTTTTTTTTTTACATTTTATTTATTTTATAAATTTTATTTATTAAATTTTATATTTATTAAATTTTCATTTTATTGTCCTTAAAATATTATTTTTATACGGTTTCTATATTTTTATTAATTTATGTAATTTATTATATATTAATAATAAAAATTAATGTAGAAAAGAGATAAAAATAAAAATAGAAAACTACATAAACTTTTTATTTTGTGTCATTTTAATTGTTTTGACGAAAACTTCAAATGATATATTTTGTTATAAAAAATAGTTATTCTATTATAATTTAATAAATTACATAAATTAATTAAAATAAACAACTCATCAGGGGTAAATTGGTCATTTTATTTGTTCTGTTCTGTCCAATTCTATCTTACCAAATGTTGAACAGTTGTTCTATCATGTTCTGTCCACTCATGTCCTAACACAAAACACACCCTAAAAAAGTGATACATAATTTTTAACAAGTCTAAAAATACTTTTGTGGTTTTCATTTTCCTCTATAATGCTCGTGATAAACCGTCCGATCATGCCAAATTCACTTGGAATCACAGTGGATATTCTCGGAAAGTGGTACATTAATATGATTGAAAATGGCGTGTGCTCAACCGAGATGAAGAAGAATAATGACCGAATGAGAAAGGGTGGTTGTTGATCGAAGTACGGGGATTAGGTAGTGGCCGGAGTCTGAAGATGGTGACCTTAGAGGTTGATCTAATATAATAACCAGAAAATGGTAAAGTTAGGGTTTGAGGTTGTTAAATCACTTTCATCTGACATCTAGTTTGAATTCTAAGGCGTCTTTATGCTCTTAAAGACCGTTTTCTACAAAACTTAGATTCCATAGGCCGAAATGAGACACTTTAAAGGTAGAATTAGGAGTCGAAGCTATGCATTTAGCCCGATTGTTATCACTCTTTTTAGCACTAGACTGACATTCTCATTTCACTTGTTCGGTTCAACAAAAGTCGATACTAATTAAGCACAATTTTGAATTGCGATAGTTGGATTCTCTATTCATATGAGTGACAACCCTGTAAGTCAGTTTTGGAGGGGCAAAGATGGTCGCAATGTATATGTGTGTGTGTATATATATAAATAAACATGTAATATAATATTCTTTTAATTTTTTAAAATTAAGGAAATAGGTAAAAAGACAAAATACCCCTCATTTTTATAAGGAAATAGTTTTAATTGATACGAAAAAGATATCAGTTTCATGAAATATTTCACCGTTTTTATAAGTTTAATACTTATTATATATTTGAATATTGTATCAGTTGGTTATCAATTATTTTATGAAGCTCAAATTTGGCGCTTTCCAAAGTTGTGGATATGAAATAATAAGTTGTAAATGCTTTACAAAATAGTAAACGTATTAATACGAATATATTCGTATTTGGGATATACTCATAATCGAAATCCCGAGAAGTGGTTTAAAAAATAGAAAAGCTCAAAATTTTGAATATATTGACATGTGGATATAACATCAATGTTTAACTTGACTTGTTCAAAAAGCTCGATTACTTTTTTTTTTTTTTTGTCGTATCCATGCATGCTTATAGGTTACTTTTGTGTGTCAAATGGCTTTGATTGGTTTCTTTTCTCATGAAAAGATAAATGATGCTATCATAACCAAAACCAATTACAAAGAAACCAAACAAAACCAAAACCGTGTAGCCAGCGCTGTCTGTCATACCGTTAACTCTATATATTCGTTGAATTTGCTTGGTTCCATTTTTCATATAGCTTGCTCCCTCTTTTTCCAAGAATTCATGCACTTTCCTTTACTCTGTAGGGCCTTCTTTAATAGGTTCATAGCCCAAAGCCTTCCATTTCCGTCAAACGACCTAGCCTCCCTGGCTCTTCCACCGTCCGGGCTCCCTATCCTCCCTATGCTCCTCCGGAGTAGAGTGATCGTTTTCATGAATCATTGGCTTTGTACAAGAGTGTGAGGAAATAAGTAGGATAAATGAAGACTAATACATGGTGAACATAGACGAAAGAAAACATGACCTCCACAATCCAAAACGTAGAAAATTTTTCAAGTGGTGTGGCATCATTTGACTATAAGAAACAATCATGCTTACTCGACTATGACTATGACTATGACTACCTATTGACCTGACCGTAGTAAGCACTTAGATGAAGACTAATACATGGTGAACATAGATGAAAGAAAACATGACCTCCACAATCCAAAACGTAGAAATTTTTTCAAGTGGTGTGGCATCATTTGACTATAAGAAACAATCATGTTTACTCGACTATGACTATGACTATGACTATGACTACCTATTGACCTGACCGTAGTAAGCACTTAGGGGTTGCTTAGTAACATCTCTTACCACCTCTAATATGAGATGGGTTGTTGATTGGAAACAAAGATAGGCTAGGAATCATACTACGGTCAATGATGTACTGTTACTTAGGGGTTGTTTACTAGCTTCTGACTGGGCTGACTCGGTCAACAGTCAACGTGTTTACCAAAATCAAAATCTGACCATAATGTTGACCGAAAACTTACAGGGTCAGCTCTGAAATGATGCTTACCTAGTCAATTTCCATATTTCCAGGGTGTGCCCTTCCCACGATTAGGTTTTCATCTCTCGCTCTTCCTCCTTCTCCCGCCTCATCTATCCTTATCCCTCCTCTCGTCAGTATTCGAAATCTATATCTTGAAACCCAATAGCAATCAAGGTTTCCATCACAACCATTTTTGAATTCAAAATTGAAGCATGAGGTAGAGGTAGAGGTAGTTGCAACGTTCGAGAAACAAAAGCTGTTGTAAAGTGGTCGTAGATGCCTGATGTAGGGATGGAGTTTACTCCATTGAGAAAACCCTAAAAACCCATTGGAAACGGATAACTCATCAGAAGATTGACACCCTAAGACCCCACATACTGCCTTATCCCACTTCTATCATTCTTTCCCATTTTATGGCGAAAAGACCCCACGTCGGTGAGCTTCCTCCCTCCCCGGTCTCAACTTCAATTGATGTAGCCGTCTTCCTTTAATTTGGTAGATATTCACCATAGATGTTGGGTTTTGGTGGATGCATTTTGCAGTGAGTGATTGTGTGAGAGAAGAGGGGAATAAGAAGATGGGAGGAAGTGGGTGGTGTGATTAGGGATGGTGATTTGCACCGGGTCGGTGGGGAATCCGGTTCACCTGAACGGGGATTCCCGCTAAAACGGGTCCCGGGGCCGGGGCCGCGGATCCCCGGTAGACTCAAACCGGGGACGGGGGATGTTACTCAAACCGGGGTCGGGACCGGGGATCCCCGGTAGAATCAAACTAAAGGATACTATTTATGGGGTTTGACCAGGGATTGACCGGGTTTTGACCGGAGATTGCTAGAGATTTAACAGGGGACGGGATGATAATCTCCGTACCCACCGGAGACCAGGGGATGCTACTACAAACCGGGGCCGAGGACGGGATTACAAAACCAGCCCCATCCTCACCCCGTTGCCATGCCTAGGTGTGTTTGGGAGAGAAAAGAGGTGAAGAAGAAAATGGGGGAGGAAGTCAGTGGTGGCTTAGGGTTTTATTTTTCTGGTATAATATTATACAAAATAATTTTTAATAAAAAACAAACAAAATATATAAAATGACAAAAAAAAATATTATTTTTATTGGTAAGCATTTATTTAAAATATGCATTTTCTTTTTTTCTTCTATTAAACTATAAGTAACAAAAATAATCATATATTATTTAATATATAATTACAAATAGAGTTATAATGGTCATTTTATTGTTGGTAAGCACTCACCATAAACATTTGATAAACACTCTTACCCGGGACAACACTTATCGGGTCAACACTCTAACCCGGTAAGAGTGGGTAAACAACGCCTTATTTACGCCTCCTTTTTATCTTTTCCCTTACTCTTTCACAATTTACCACGTGTGTTTTCGTTTTACCTCTAGGGTTTACTTGCAGTACATAATTATTTTTGCGCCAAAGTACGTGAATATTATAAATTAATCTATCAAATTTAAATATATTATATAAACAATAATTTACATTACATTCAATGATTATAATAAACTAGAAGAGTACTCGCGCAATGCAGCGAGATACATCGTGTTTTTAATATTTCATTTTATTCTTTAT